GATGATGGACTGGAAGTGCGTAATTCATAGCCTGTCGGGTGTTATGGCTGTGCCTATCCATACCTCGTTGGAGCTGTAGCCTGCTTCCATGAATAGCCCAGCTAGGATGTACAGGCTTGTAATAGTAAGGATTTTTAGCTCACGGAATTTTGGTCTGTGACTTTCTCTCTTGTCCATGTCTGCTATTATTCTTACTGCTTTTTTCTGGTGGATAAGCACACGTTGGAGGTTGATTGCCGATGAATTTCCCCATACTTCAAGGCCATATCGAAGATGTGATTCAAACAGTGAGTGGTAGGCAACCATGGCTATGTTGGTGTCACTTATGGTTTTTATCCTTCTTATCACATAGACACTGCTACTCAGCTTACTACACAGGCTGTCAATATGAGCGGTCCATGTCAGTTTCTGGTCTATTATTAAACCTAAATACTTTGCTTCTTCTGGGCCTTCGATGTCTGGGATCCTGCAAACCCCACTATTTCTCCTGCCAAAGACCAGTTGTTGTATTTTCTCTTCATTAACTACTAGGCTGTTGTTTTGGCAATATTGTATTGCCATGTTTATGGAAACAAACGAGCTGATTTCAAGGGCTTCAGGGTTTTTTCCCCCAAGGAGAAGTACGATATCATCCACATACATAAGAGTCTTGCTGTGGTCTTCCAAATAGTGAGGGAGATCATTTGTAAACAAGATGAAAAGGGTGGGGCCCAGCACAGAGCCCTGTGGAACACCCTTTACTACAGGTAATAACTTTGATCTAACTGTTTGTGTAGATCCCTTTTCAGTGTACAGTAGACCCCCTCTTAACCGACCCTAATGGGACCGGACCTAGGTCGGATAACTTAAAAGGTCGGTTAAAACGGGCAATCCCTAAAATCATAACATAATGAAGTGCTATTATACATTTAGAATTATATAATCATTATTTTGTAGTCATACTTGCGTTATTTATAAAATAAACTACTCTTTATCTCCTTTTTTCGTCTTAATAGAAAAGTCACAAATAAACACAAAATACGGTTAAGTAAAATAGGCCTACTTTTAGTGGAATAGATTATAGTACTAGGCATAGGGTCAATAAAAATTCTTATTAATAATTATTAATAAAATAACTTTAGTACTGTAATGTATTAATTGATGCTTTCCAAATCCATCGTAATACAGTACAGAACCTTTTGTCAAAATTAAAGATACAAGCAACCATTTTGTTACGAGACAGGGTGTTTATTTATAGCCTCTCACTAGAGGCTCAGAGGCACAAAAACTATCTTGACCTTGGAGTTGTTAACCCCCCTTCCCTGCCCACCCTACAAAATGCTTTGTTTGTTTTACTCAAGTGATAAGATAATCAGTTCTCAAAATCGTAACCACACATAACAAATCAGATCATATGTGCCCGTGCTACAAACAATGATGACAAACTGACAATATGCTATATTTTTTGTGATCACTACAAAATAACTTATTCTTAGTCACATCCTGTGGAGTGGAGATAAGCATATGGTTCGGTTCTCATCGCCCAGCGTAAGAGCGGAAATGCCGAGGTTCCTAGAAAGCGGCGGTTAAACCGAACTGCTCTCAAAGCAAGGTCGGTTAAAACAAACTGTAATATTTTACGATCGAAGGCGGATAATCCGATTATCGGTTAATACGAGGTCGGTTAAGAAAGGGTCTACTGTATTAAAGTTCAACCATCTGACTTCTTCCAGTTAAATAGCTCTTGAACCGATCTGCAGTTTTCCCACCAATCCCAATTTTTCTTAACTTGTTACACAGTTGTGTATGATCTAAGAAGTCAAATGCTTTGCTGAAATCAAGTAAAATGGCGGTTGGTATGTTTCCTTCTTCTAGATTATCTATTACATATTCAGTTAGCCCTATTATGGCAGATGTGGTTAATTTTTCCTGTAAAAATCCATGTTGATGTGGTGTGAGCAGTTCATTGGACGATAGGTGTTGAAGAAGTCTGTTTAGTACTATTTTTCGAATACTTTGGAGAATGTGGAAATTAATGAAATTGGGCGGTAGTTCTTTGAGTCCAGATGGTTTCCTTTGTTGAATTTTGGGTATACCTTTGCAATTTTAAGCCCACTTAGGAAAATTCCTTCTTGGAAAGAACGGTTGATTATGTATGTTAACGGTCCAGCAAGTTCTTCTTTACATTTTTTTAGTAGACTGGCGGATATATCATCTACTCCAGCAGATGTTTTATTTTTTAGGGTGTTGATCACTTGAGTCAGTTCCTGCTTGTTTGTTAACTGAAGAGACATCGTAGGTGTCTGACAGTGTACCTCTGTGATTTCAGCTGGCTCATTTTGGTTTTGAGGATTTTGTGCAAGGGTGTCATTATCTATGTTAACGAAGAACTCAAAATTTTAGACCAGTTTGAAGATCTACTGCTAACAAATAACAGCTCAATATCCTTCATGGCTTTTGTAAAGTTTTTGTTTTTTAATTTACTAAACCAAGATATATTTTCTAGGTATGGATAGACATAAATTTCCACAACATAAGCTATTTCTGATGTACCATACAATTTCACTTTGTATTTTGAGTTAGATTCAGAGCTATCTACAATAGCCGGCCAAGGTGAGTGGCCCATCACCATAGCATACACTTTATCTCCAATTCCATACTTGTATTTGTTTTGACTAGTATCCATAATGTAAAACTTGATAATAAATAATGGGCAGAACCAGAGTGTTAATTTATTTATTCAGTCATATTTTTGTAATATCATTAAAGTTGCATTTGATCCTTTATTTTTTAAGCCCATAAGTATTGGATGGCCCTTGAATAGATCTAGGTATATTATTAAACAGAATGGTAAGTATCTAACTTATCCTCTCACAGTAGTTAGCAAAGGTCAATTATATTAAAATAAATAGGTAAATGTATTAAAAGTTTAATCAATAAGTAAAATAAAAATCCTCTTCTTAAAAGATTTGTAAATAAAAATAACTCTAGGTAATGAATATTATCTATTAACTCTCTTCATTAATGTTATCTTAATGCAGATGTAATCTAGGTTTATTCTCAGATTGTTGTTGCTCCAAAGGTCAGGCCCTAGTCATGAGCTGGTCAGATGTACAGGGTGGCAGGGGGTGGGGTGGAGATCCAAACAGGAAATTACTGCTAAATTCAAGTAGTGTTCACGTTAATGTGTTTAGGATCCTTACTTTGTAAACGTTTATTTTAACCATGTTAAGATAGTGGTTGAGTAGTAAAATGATTGATAACTGATTAATAATAAAAAAAGTGAAATTATTTTGCTTCTAGTGTCCTTTTCAAGGATGTTTAGTTAGTGTTTAAAAACATGTGCTTTTGGCTAGGAGAAAACTGTAGTTCGGTCACTCACTTTTAAAATACACTCTAAAACATTGGATGATTGGCTCCATAAAAAATAATCACAATCATATTGTTTTGAATCTGCAAACGACCATCAAACCATTTAATAGGTATTTTTTTATAGACGTAATGACTGTATTTTTTTTAATTATAAGAGAATGATTAACACTATCAAACGCTTTAGATAAATCCATGAGGATTCTGGTGGTGTATTCACTGTTATCGACTGAATCAATCATAGATTCAATAAAAGAAACCGCGGCTGTTACTACATACTTTCCAGCCCTGAAGCCATGTTGGAAATTATTGAGTTATTTAGTATCTTCAAGATATTCAGCTTATTTTGTTTGCAAATTTTTTTCATAAATTTTTGATATTACAGATACAGTAGACCCCCTCTTAACCGACCTCGTATTAACCGATAATCGGATTATCCGCCTTCAATCGTAAAATAATACAGTTGGTTTTAACTGACCTTGCTTTGAGAGCAGTTTGGTTTAACCGCCGCTTTCTAGGAATCTCGGCATTTCCGCTCCCACGCTGGGCGATGAGAACTGAACCATACGCTTATCTCTACAGGATATGACTGAGAATAAGCTACAGTATTTTGTATTGATCACAAAAAATATAACATAGCCTATTGTCAGTTTGTCATCATCGTTCGTAGCTAGCACGAGCACATCAGATCTGATTTGTTATCTGTTTGGCAAATTTATAACATCATAAAGTGCGTTAAGATTTTGAGAACTGATTATCTTATCTCTGGAGTAAACAAACAACGCAACTTGTAGGGAGGGCAGGGAAGGGGGGTTAACAACTCCAAGGTCAAGATAGTGTTTGTGCCTCGAGCCTCTAGTGAGAGGCTATAAATAAACATCCTGTCTTGTAACGAAATGGTTGCTTGTATCTTTAATTTCGACAAAAGGTACTGTACTGAATTATGATGGATTTGGAAAGCATCAATTAATACATTACAGTACTAAAGTTATTAAAAAAGGAATTTTTATTGACTCTTGCCTTTTTGCTATTTTTAATTGATTTGGAAATATTTCTGATACAAATGAGGAGTTGACGGGATGACTTAAAACTTAGCTTAGGCATTTTTAATAACTTTAATTACAACCGTTTTTTGGAAATAAGTGTTGAAATCTTTAATATGGTAGTTTTTTTATGTGTTTAAAAGGGTTTTAACTTAAATTGGCTCGTTGGAATGTATCATAGCTAGATAATTTTTTCTTTACTTGAAAAACACCCCATTACCTCAAAAATACTTAATGGAAAGACGTTAAGACAGGGGTTGGTGTAGTATAACCAATCCATTCAGAAAATTGGGTAAAACAGTTTAAAAAAATGGTATCGGTATCGAGAATCGATTATTCAGGGATTGGTATCGAGAATAGATTTTTCAGGGATTGGTATCGAGAATCGATAAAGTTTGGTATCGACACTTCACTAAAGAAAAACAAACGACAAGACAGTTCTACTTGTTTGTTTTGTGTTAAAAAAAAAAACTCAAAAGCTCAAACAGTTACAATAAAAAAGCTTTAAATAAAATTGTTTTTCAGTTCATTGTATATTTAAGAAAATAGCCCAAAGTTACCTAGTGTTTACAGAACAAAATATATTATGTACGTCTAAATGTTACTTACTTGTTGGCAAAACACAATTTGGTAACACTGAACAACCCAAAGTCTGTGATGATCACTTTACCATTTTCCAGAAATATATTCTTCGTTTTTAAGTCTTTATGAATAATTCCTCTTGCATGAAGATATCCCATTCCCTAAAAACAAAATTAAATGTCATTACTTTCTGCAATTAATTGGTTTACTCTCTGGCTGTTAAAAAAATATTTAAAATTCATTCATAACATACCATAGTCTCGCTAATCCAAACCACCTGTTGGGGAAAAAGGTCCTGTATTTTGATTTAAAACAAAGCTTTGCGTTCTGAAATACTAATAAGGGTTTCCAGCACACTGGGAAACTGGGAAAACTGAAATAATTTGGAATAATCACCAAAAGCCTATGGCCATGTAATAAAAAAGAAAACAATCATGGGAGGTAATCACAGTGTTTATTTTTGTGATTGTGGTAACAATATGTATGGTTATTTAAATTAATAAAAAAATTCCTTATGTTTTTCATTAAACTTTAAAACATTTTTGCTAATCATAACAATTTTGTATTCCAAACAGGGTTCGATCCCAATTACATAGTTCAGATTAGCAGGACACTAATGCACAAGCACATTAAAGTATACTGATCTGAGCACATAAAAAAACTCTCAATTAACATGTTTAAATTTGTAAATACACAATTTTATCTTCAACTTGATTGGTTGACTCACTATTTATCCAAATCTTTCAACTGAATCTAGAGAAATTAATATAACTGCATAGGAGTATGCACAATGGCGTGAAAAAAACCCCGCAATGTAGGGGGTGCCGAGGTCCAGGGAGCGCTGAGAGGTCTGATTGTCACCGCCCACCAACAGCAAAAAAGGTGACGTTTTTTCCGTGACCGCGGGTTTCAAAGCCATGATGTCTTCAAGTCCGAAGAATATATTCATGATTTTGCCGCAATCGCAAAAAAAGTTGACCTCGTTTCCGTAACCGCAGTAGACAAAGAAGATATTCATGATTTTGCCTCAATCGCAAAAAAAGTTGACCTCATTTCCGCGACTGCGGGAGACGAAGATGATGTCTTCAAGAAGGAAAAATATATTCATGATTTTGCCGCTATCGCGGATAAAGATTACGGTGTTTCTGTGACCACGAGAGCAGACGAAGATGGAGGCGGATGATGTACAAGATGTTGCCAGGATCACGGAAAATGATGACGAGTTCCAATGACTGTGGGAGACAATGTCTCCATAAATGCGAGAGATATTCAAGATTTGGCCACAGTCACGGAAAACGATGACGATGTTTCCATGACAAATGGAGGCGATGAAAAAACGTCCGTGAGAGTTAGATTTTGCAGCGATAACAGCTTTGGCTGAGATAAAGGAATAAAATGTAAGTGGTGATGTTTTGGCGGGGGGGCGTCATCCACATGTACTCCGTGTACATGTAGCTAGTTCACTAATATTCGCTAATATTCGCTATTGGCACTAGCTGGGCACACTAGCGCAAAAATTTCCATCCACACGTAGCTAGTTATTAGCGCTTATTATTAGCGCTAGTCATGTAGAAATGAAGTGTTCATTGGTCATGATTATCATTTCAGTTCTGCACAAAATGTCTTCTGTTCCCTAAATTGCAATGTGTTGAGACAAATTTTAAGAATTATTATTACCTTTATATTATTACCTATTATATAAATAGTCATCAGAGACAAGCTACCGTGTCTCGGCAGGTGCCCGTTCGGTGGAACACCAAAAAGCTGGACGTGGCCAAATTCACTGAAGTCATACTACGGGGAGAGCCAGTGGTACCTGCTGCATCTGGCTTGGCTCACGCAGAGACATCAGTTACATCATTGATGAGGCTGATAGTCTCGGCCTGCAAAGAGTCAATGCCTTGCAGGAGATCCCGGTGCGATAAGCGACCTGTGTACTGGTGGACAACCGAGATCGCGGAACTACGACGGGCAGCATTGAGAGCCAGACGTCTTGCTACCAGGGCCAGAGAACCTGAAGATAGACGTCTTAAGTCTGACGCTTACAAGGTGGCTAGGAAGTCTCTTCGCCGGGCCATTAACCGGAGCAAACGCAGTTGCTGGGAGAAATTAAGGGACGATGTCGATTCCGATCCGTGGGGCCTTGGTTACAAGATAGTAACCAAGAAGCTTGGCACCCGCTCTCCACCTTCCTTTATGGACGGGGCCTCTATGGAGAGGATCGTAAAGTCCCTTTTCCCGACTCACACACTGCGCCCATTGCGGGAGTTCGGAAGGGTGGACGACGTACCGCTTTTCAGTCTCGAGGAGTTGGAGGCGGCCGTTCTGTCCCTGAAGAACAACAAGGCTCCTGGACCGGATGGGGTACCTGGTGAGGCCCTGAAGAAAGTCTTTTCAATAAACCCACAAATCCTTTTGAGCACGTACAATGCCTGTCTGGCCGAGGGGAAGTTTCCCTTCTGCTGGAAAACAGCTAGGCTTGTGCTCGTGGGGAAGGGAAAAGGAAACCCAGACCTACCCTCCTCTTACAGACCTCTCTGTATGTTGGACACTGCTGGGAAAGTCTTGGAAAAGTTGATCCGTTCCCGACTGAATTCAGCCGTGGTTGCTGCAGGGAATCTATCCCCTCGTCAGTACGGCTTCAGGAAGGGACGGTCAACGGTTGACGCTATTGAGGAGGTAAAGCGAGCCGTAATGAGAGCTGAGGAGTTTAACAACTATTCTCGTCGGGTTGTGCTGCTTGTAACACTTGATGTGCGAAACGCATTTAATTCCGCGAGGTGGTGCGATATGCTCGACGCACTGGAGAACACTTTCCACGTCCCGGCATACCTCATGCGCATGATAGAGGACTACCTCCGGTACCGCCTCATCATTTACGACACTACAGAAGGCTCCAGGACGATGGATGTAACTTCTGGTGCTGCTCAAGGATCCATACTGGGCCCGGACCTCTGGAACGTCGCCTACGACAGCCTCTTGAGATCCGAGATGCCTGAGGAAACTGTCCTAGTTGGGTATGCAGATGACGTTGCGGCTTTAATAGCTGCACGTAGCATTGAGCTTGCCCAGCTGAAACTAAATCGAGTCATGCGAACCATTAACGCATGGATGGCAGAACATGGTCTCTCGCTAGCTCTGAGCAAAACTGAGATTGTCATTCTGACTAAAAAGAGGATTGACACCATCGTGCCTTTGATGGTGGGGAACGTTGAAGTCCAAACCACTCGTGCCGCAAAGTACCTTGGTGTCATGGTGGACAGCAAGCTCAGCTGGCGAGACCAGATCACCCGTACGGCGGACAAGGCCGCTAAAATGGTTTCTTCCCTTAGTCGGTTAATGGCCAATGTCGGAGGTCCACGGTCCAGCCGCAGAAGGCTGTTGATGTCTGCGGTCCAGTCAGTGCTCCTGTACGGTGCGGAGGTCTGGGCAGACGCTCTCAATAAGGAGGTATATAGGATGCGGCTCGCCCGAGTGCAGCGTCAGGCAGCACTAAGGGTAGCATCTGCCTATCGAACAGTGTCCGAACCCGCCGTCCTGGTGGTTGCTGGAGTCATCCCCGTCAAACTTTTGGCGGCGGAGAGGAAGGCAATTTATCAGCGCCGTGGGGAGGACCAGGCAAGTATTGAGGAACGCACCCGGACCTTCCAGCTGTGGCAGGAGAGCTGGGAACAGGAGACAAGGGGGCTCTGGACCAGGCGACTGATACAACAGGTCCAACCTTGGGTTAATCGGCGGTGCGGAGAGGTGAACTTCTACCTCACCCAATTTCTGACGGGTCACGGCTTTTTCCGGTCGTACTTGTTCAGGATGGGCAAAACCGTGTCACCCGATTGCATATACTGCCCAGGCATTCCCGATGACGTGGAACACACTTTCTTCCACTGCCAGCATTGGGAAAGGCCCCGCCTAGAGGCTCAACAGTTCGTAGGACTGCTGTCGGTGGACACGGTCATACCGATGATGATGGAGGGTGAGGACAATTGGACCTGTGTGTCACTTTACATCCAGGGTGTTCTCTGCGCCAAGAAGCTTGACCTCGACCGGGATGCGGTGTAGGTCAAAATATAAATAATGCCAGAAACGGTGCGAGCCCTGTGGGCTTAGGTCACATGTTGGCCTGACTTGAAGTAATGTGACAAACAATTCCAGGTCTGTGTCCAACAGAGTAGAGGGGGTTTTTTAGTGAGTAGTCTGTGATAAACTCAGGAGTCTCACACTACAGGCTGGCTACCTGTGTGCGTAAAAGCATTTTCCCTCCTCACCCTAAAAAAAAAAAAAAAAAAAAAAATTATATAAATTGGTATACACGAGTTGTATGAACATGAAATTAATAAAAAGAAACAAAATGTTTGGGGTCGTTGAAAACAAAGGATTAAAAAAACTGGTTTTGATTTAATTAAGTATGTTATAATTATTAAAATATTTAACATTTTTTTAATTTTTTTGAAATTTAGATTTTTAACTAGTGGCTTGTAGGGGCAATAGCCCCTATATACAGTATATGTAATATATTCTAATAATTATTTTGTACAAATTATTTGTCTCATGGGTTACCGTACCCTACCTTGAATTATCGTTTAAGTTTTTTGTATGTTATAATAATGTATAACAGTTATCACATACCTGCATAATTCATTTTTATGTCTGCTCTGTTTAGGATAAAAATTCAAAAGGACTCTTCATGTGGTGGGTTTGTAACATAAATTTTCTAATCATAATACAGCAAAAGAACATTTTCAATAATCTTCACTATTAATTAAATATATATACATTTTTTTTTATATAGACAAATTCACTTAGAAAAACACAACACATAGAGATAATGTTATCTTCCAAATTGTACAATTCTAATTCTGTAACAAAATCTCTCTGAAAACAACATTTGTTGTGTAGTATCCATTTTGGTCCATTCCTTGGTCTTTATTTGTTTCTATTTCTATTTTAACGTCATCTGGCCGCTTTACCCGGCTAAAAGCAACATAAAGTTGACCATGGGTAAACACTGTTTTTTTTTTTTTTTTCAAATAAATTCGAACTTTTGGGAAGGTTTGGCCTTGCGCTTTATTTATAGTAATGGTGAAAGATAATCGCAATGGGAATTGAATCCTTTGTAAATTTAAAGGGCATATTAGGATCTGTAGATATTAGTTTTATTTTT